GGGGCTGTGTAGAATAGCTAGAATTCGTGTGATAGGGCCATGAGGAACAGCTAGAATTATTTTTGTTCATTGAAATATCAAACAAACTCACTATGTAATATAACAGGCAGAATTTTGTGATTTTATCTTTGTACTGAAACATTCAAATTATTTTCTTCACATTTAGTGACTTTTTCTTATGTATTTGTTGGGTATTTGAATGTCTTATTTTCAGAATGTCTATTCACATTTTGCTCATTTTTAAATTGTATATAATTATTAGATTTTGAGTGGATGGATTTTCTTTCATATCTCGAACACTGATCCTTAATCATATAGTTTGCAAGTACTCTCTTACATTATTATTTTTTTAAATTTACCCATTTGTTTTACCTTCTGACCATAGTTTCCCCACCCATTTCTCCTTCCCTTCCCTCACTCCACTTCCCCTCTGTCTCTCACTACCCAATTCACTCCTCTGTTTCTGTTCTGAAAGGGATAGGCCTCCTGTGGGTGTCAACACAGCATGCCAACTTGAGGTAGGAACCACTCCTCCACTTGTATTAAGGCTAGAGAAGGCAATCCAGCTAAGACCTCTAACAACAGTGGATAGGTAGCCTACATTGGCCATCTTCTATAATCAGATTGGTAACTACTCCAATTGTCACCAAAGAGCCTGTATCTAGTGACTAATGGAGGCAGATGCAGAGGTCCACAGCCAAGCACTGGACTGAGTTCAGAGAATCCTGTTGAAAGAGGGAGGAAGGATTGTCTGAGCCTGGGGGGTGGTGGTAATATTAATTAAGGTCACTACAAAGGAACCCACAGAAACAATTAACCTGGGCTCCCAAACATTGGAGCATTTTTTTTTTTAAAACTGAGATAGAATCAAATAGGCCTACTGGTTTGTTGGATATGTGACTAACTCTGTAGGGCTTCAAGAGAATCATCTTTATCATGAGTGGTCATACTGTTGAGATTCCAAGACAGTTCTGCAGAGGAAAGAGCTGACAAATGACTTGAATGCATACATTTCCATGCATGGATGTAAACTTCTGAATTGGTGCTGTCCTTATTTTTTTGAACAAACTTTCCAGATTTATCCTTTCTGTTCCTCTTAAAAGTTTTTATTACTTATTTCTTGCTGAAGATTCAATTCTCCACACTTGAAGTAGGCCTTGGATGCTCCTGAGTGGGATGGATTTGAAGTTCAGTGTTAAGACTGGCTGTTTTTCTCACACATCCAAGATCTTGGTTTTGATTTCTCACACACACACAAACACACACACACACACACACACACACACACACATACACACACATACACACACACAGAGAGAGAGAGAGAGAGAGAGAAGAAAAAACAAACAAACAAACCAAAACAGCTCCTAAGCTGCAGCCTCTCTGTACTCTCTTCAGACACTCTGCTCATTATCCATCATCATCCAAACTGGACCTCAATAGTCTCATTCAAGAACTTGGTTTCTTTTCCTGTAGTATGGAATAGTTATTCAAGTGATATTCTGATTTACAAGCCCTTCTGCTTCCAAACTTCTCTTAAATGCTAGTTGGTCTGAATTCTTGCTTATTTATAAGTTTTATGGCCCTTATTATTTCTCCTTTGTTATATGGCTTTTATATACAAATTTATATGCTGTTTTTTGAATTTAAGCCATTCTAGTTCAGAAATATATCTCCTTAGGCCTTGACTCTTCTTATTTCTCAATACATTGCTATGAATATATCAGAGTCTCAGTACATATTTACTGGGGTCCTGGACATGCTTTAAATAGTCTAGACATTTTAAGACTATGAACACTTTGAGATTTATATATTTATTTATTTTTATTATTGCTTTTCTTATTTTATATATCAATCCCAGTTTCTCTCTCCCTCCCATGCTCCCATTCCCCCAACCCACCCTCCCATACCATTCCCTACTCACTCCCCAGGGAGGGTGAGCCTTTCAGGAGGTATTATCAAAATATGTCAAGTCATTTAGGTTAGGGCCTAGGCCCTCCCTCCTGTCTCTAGGCTAAGGGAGTATCTCTCCATGGGGAATGTGCTCCCAAAGTCCTTTCAATCACTAGGGATACATCCTGGTTCCACCCAAAGGTCCCTTAGACTGCCCAGGCCTTTTGAGACCCACGTTCAGGGTGTCTGGACCTGTCCTTTGCTGGTTTCCCAGCTGTCAGTCTGGGGTCCATGAGTTCCCCCTTGTTCAGGTCTCTGTGGGTTTTCTGCAGCCTGGTCTTGACACCTTTGCTCATCACTCCTCCCTCTCACAAACTGGATTCCAGGAGTTCTGCTTAGTGTTTGTTTAGCTGTGGGTGTCTGCTTCTGTTTCCATTAGCTACTAGATGAGGGCTCATGATCATCTTTTTGTGACTGGGTTACCTCACTCAGGATGGTTTCTTCTAGTTCCATCCATTTGCCTGAGAATTTCAAGATTCCTTTGTTTTGTTTTGTTTTCCCCCCCTCTGAATAGTACTTCATTGTGTAAATGTACACAATGTACACATTTTCTTTATCCATCTTCAGTTGTGGGGCATTTAGGTTGTTTCCATGTTCTAGCTATTGCAACTGCACAGTCAACAAGACAAAACAGCATCCCACAGAGTGGGAACAGATCTTTATCAAAACCACATCTGACAGAGGGCTGATCTCCAAAATATACAAAGAACTCAAGAAGCTAGTCACCAAAACACCAAATAATCAAATTAAAAGGTGGGATATAGAACTGAATTGAGAATTCTTAATAGAGGAATCCAAAATGGCTGAATGAAGTATGCTTATTCCCTTAGCTATCAGGGAAATGGCAAATCAAGGCAACTCTGAGATGCTGCCTTACTCCTGCCAGAATGGCTAAAATTAGAAACACCAATGACAACTCATGCAGGAGAGGGTGTGGAGAAAGAGGAACACTCCTACACTACTGGTTTGAGTGCAAACTTGTACAGTCATTTTGGAGATGGGTATGGCGGTTCTTCAGGAAAATGGGAAATCAGTCTACCACAGGAGCCAGCAATTCCACTCTTAGACATATACTCCAAAGATGCACATCCTTGCAACAGACATATCTGTTCACTTTGAGGTTTTTTAAAAGAGCTTCTGAGATAGGAACTTATAGCAGTCTCTGGCATTGAACTCACTGTATAGCTGTTGAACTTCTGATTTTCTTGTTCCCACCTGAGTGTGTGCACAACCACATCTGTTAAATGCCATGTGTGGGTGCAAGACAGGCCTCACTTTTTCATTAAGATACTCTCTAGTCCTAGATACTAGCAAATTTGTTGATAATGGAATGTAGTAAGTGGTACATATGAATTTGTAGTTCAGCATTACATAGCAAGTTATTTTAAAATCCTGAGTATTTGAGAGACTCAGAAAACTGTGTGCTCTGAATGATTTACTTTTTTCATTAACTTAGAGTTAATGAAAATATCTGTTTTTATTTTTCATTGGAAAATTGTTTTTGAAATAATATAATTTTCAGTTTTAGCCAAAGTGTCATTAAAGTTTCTTACATATGTTAGACTATCAGAATATGTTTAGGCAATTATCACACACCATAATTTTTGAGTTAAATAAATAATTATATATTTAAACATGATATTTGAACTGGGGCTCAAGGGTTCTTTTCATTCTTTAGTATATTAAGCATGTTTATTATTTTAAGTTAGGAATAAATATCTGAAAAAGAATTATGCATTTGGCTGGAGAAATGGCTAATCCTTTAAGAGCACTGACTTCTCTTCTAAAGGTCCTGAGTTCAAATCCCAGCAACAATTAGGTGGCTCACAACTATTTGTAATGGGAAATGGTACCCTCTTCTGGCCTGCAGGCATACAGGCAGGCAGAACATTGTATGCATAATAAACAAACAAACAAATAAATCTTTTAAAAAATTTTGAAAACTGGGGACCAAATTAGACACTCTGAATATGGGTGACAGGTATGTGACTTGATCTGTTGTGAGGTGTCCCTAGCAGAGGCACCAGGACCTATCCCAGGGGCATGAACTGGCTTTTTGGAGCCCATTTCCTGTGGTGAGATACCTTGCTCAGCCTTGATGTAGGAGGGAGGAGATTGGTCCTGCTTCAATGTAGTATGCCAGACTTTGTCGACTCTCTAATGAAGGCCTTACCGGCTCTGAGGAATGCATGGGAGGGGGTGGAATGGTGGGAGGTTGTGGAGGGACCAGGGGAACTGCAGTTGGTATGTAAATTAAAAAAAATAAAGTTTTTAAATAAAGAAGAAAAGAGATATGCATTGTGAAAAATGGGAATACATTTCAAGAAAGGCATATTTATTGGTCACTGTGAAAACATGGTATACAAACTATAATAGCTATGGCATCAATAAGTGATATTGTTTTAAGGGACTGTGGCCAAATACAGCTTCTGTTCTTGACCAAATGTTGCTATGAGATACATTACTTTTTCAAATAATGTAACCTCTTAACCATATAAAGTACCAGAATATATTTTATTTATTGTAAGGACTAGATTTTATCCTATTTTACATATTGATCCCAATTCTCTTCTTTCAATTAAATATTTTCCAATTTCTACTTTTCAAATGCAGGGACTTTCAATGTTGCTTAGGGTGACTTTAAATTCTTATGAACTCCAGATTGACTTTGAAGTAGATTTTAGATGTTTCCATCATGTTTGTCCTAGTCTGTTATTTACATAGATATCAGTGAAATTTCAGTTTTGTCAAATGTTCTACATATGTACTTGTAGTATATATAAGTATACATACTGTATATTTAATAAACATAAATGTTTGTGTTAACTGTTCAGGCTATGGAGCTTTCTCATCCTGAAGATGTTGATTTGGGGATTTTCTTGAGAGTTGGGCTCTGCAAGCATGTGCTTTGCATTTCTGAAGCCAGAGCATCGGTCTCTAGCATTGCACAAACAAAGCAAAATAACAAAGATGTTTTCTTGACTTATGTGTAGCTTACAACTTGTAACTGCTTTAACTGTGGGGTTATTGTTTTTGTCATTTTCCAGAAGTTTTCTGAAGCAGTGATAATCTTAAGACAACATCCAGAGACAAGTAATCATGAACACCAAAGATTTTGTAGTTATTCCCTGGGGGAAACCTGGAAATTCTGTAAAACTAAAATATAAGAAGTAAGTATAAACATTGTTTTTAAAGTAAAATAGTTGCTAAAGTTTGTATGCATTGTAAATTGAATTGTTCTTTTTTATACAAGAAAAATGTAAATGTCAAATTTTATAAATTCTCACTTCCATTTTGTCACATTGACATGTTTTCATGTTTATAGACATTACATTTATATACTATTTTCATATTATAGAACTTAAATTTATGAACCATTATATTATTAAAATGATAAAGTTATTTTGTAACTTTAATGATAGTCATTTTAATAATATAGTTTATAAGTTTGAAGTGTGTAATAATTTTCTTTGAACTAAAATGATTATTTTTAACAAAAATTGCATGTGAAGTTATAAATGAAAGTTGGCACCATTAACTATTGAAGCAGTATAAGAGAAGGTTAAATTTTGTGACCTTTATTCAGTGTTAAGGACTTAAAAAGTTATTACAATTAAATTAAAATTATAGGGTCAATTAGGGTCAGAGATCTTTGAACATGGACACTATGCTGAACATTCCAGAAATGGAAAGGAACGTTCTAAATAAACTTGGAAATCTACTAGGCAAAGCCAAGTACTTCTGATGTCATGGGCATCAATTCTGAGCATCCCCAGTATTTTGACTTTCCATGAGTGTTAAAGGGGTGTGCTCACAGTTCCCCTTGAAGGTCACCTAGTCACTGGAAATCTTCTTCAATATCACTAATAGTCAGCCATGTAAGATTCTGGTTTCTGTGTTTCCTAGTTTAGCTCAATAGCCTATAATTATTTGGTTTCTTCAGAGCTTTACATAAATTAAACTTTCTTCACTTTTAAGTCATTGGGTATAAAAACATTATAGAAACTGAAAAATGTTATTCAAATACAGGATATTACCATGTTTAGATTTATTGTTTTGGTATTTATAAAAGCTCTCAAATTATGAGTGGTTTGTTTATTTATTTATTTATTTATTTAGTTGAAACAAAGAAGGGATGTGCATATTTTGTTTCATCTCTGTGTCTATACCTGCAAACTTATTCAGTGAACAAATGTCTGTCAGTGGTATACATACTCTGAGAGCAAATTGTGGATAAAGGAAAGAAACCAGAATCTTTCTCTCGAGTAGCTTGTTGTGAAGATGATTTACAATTACAGTGACAGTGTTGTGTGGTATGTGCGGTATGTGGTATGACATGTAAGCCCAGGGGCACAGAAGTGGGCAGATACTCGAGTTCTTTAGGAAGAATACATGTTCTTTGGTAGTTGTTGGATAAAACCACAGTAGCATAACCCTGGCTGCTCAAGTCACTTGTCTAGGGTTATTTTAGATTTCTCTTTTGTGTCTTCCTTGGTTAGTCTTATCAGTCTATGGATTCAGTTAATTCTATTTTCTTATTTTTATCAAATGCTCCAATCTTGCTTGACATTGTCTATCCTTAGATAATCATAGTCACTACCGTTTGACTTATTAGGAGTAAGACAGGCTTAGCTGTGTGTCTTATATTTGAATTTTCATGGGACAGCAGAGTGATCTTTGTAAATACAAGTCTGGCCCAGTGTCTTGAAATCCTGAAATGATGCTCATTGTTCATAGAAGGCAATTCCCAAGTACTGATCACACTCCAGGGTTCTCTATGATCTGACCATCAGCCACTCACAACAGGCCTACTTATTGATGTCTTCTCATCTTACATCTGATGAATTGTAGTGGAACTTCCTTGACTCACATGCTATATCTTCTCTTTCCTCTGCCAATACTTTTTTTTTTTAATTCTCCGACTGTTGCTCATACCACCTCCCTTTGATTAGACAAATGCTCTAATCCTTCATCTCTTAGCTCTCCTTTACCCACCAAAAATGTCCTTCTCTGAAGTCATTGGGCTTGTACAGTACAGCACAGTCACAGCATGCCTCTATGAATTTACTGGTTGTCTGTATCCCTTCTGAATTGCAGACTGCATGTGTCTTGCTGTTCTTGTTTGGAATAAGATGAACCTCACCTTTTGGATGTAACTAAAGTAACAAGTGACTCCCTCCATACTAAAAATCAGTTCCTCTTGACCCTTTGCCAGTCACTTTGAGATACCACCATGGGTTGCTTCCACCTATAGACAAAAGCTTGGTGCATTTGATTTTTACTGAAGGATTTTCACCACTGTACATTAAATCTTTTTCTAATCTCCATTATTCCTCATTTGGATGAGAGCATATATGCCCAACTAAGTAGGGAAAGTTTTAATTCATAATAGATAATGAAATCTAGACATTTGCATTGGTTTCTAGCTGTAGAAAAGCCAGGAACTAAATCTATTGGAGGGTGGAGCCTCAAATACTATGAAGAAAATCTCATAGGGCTATGGAGATGATTCAGCTGTTGCAAGCATAAAGATCTGAGTTCAATACTGAGAAGTCAGATAATAAAAATTGCATGTGGTTTACAGGCTTAGAATCCCAGTGCTGGACAAAGCAGACATATGCAGGTTCCTGGACTTGAGTCTATTTAGTGAGTTACAGCTCAGTGAGAGATTGTCTCAAGAAAAAGGAAGAAAGACAATAAGTAAATAAATAAGCAATAAATAAATAAGAACAAAGAGAAATGTGGGTGGTGCCTGAGGAATGATAGGTTATCCTTCTGTAGGCAGAAAGATATGCATATACATTCTTTTGCATCCTCCCACAAACAAATACATACACACACACACACATACACACACAAAATCACACACATACAAACACACATACACAAACATATACAAACACACACACAAACATACACAAACACACACACACACATACAAACACATGCGCGCGCGTGCGCACACACACACACACACACACACACACACACACACACACACAAAACAACAACAACAAAATATTAGTAGGAGCTTTCTTCCAAAGAGACACAAATTGGTCCTGATATTCACTCTCAGAGCTCTTTATGTGTTGCATAAAGAGATATTTGCTGAAGGTGCTGGTTCAACAGAATAAGCTTATGTAGAAAGAAAATACTTATTTTGGGCTGAGGATATGACTTAGTGGTAAAGTGCTTACCTAGCAGGTACCTGGTCCCAGGCTTAATCTTCATCTTTGCCCTGTGTTAAATGGACGACTGGGTGAATGATGGTAGTTTTAAGTACTATGCTATGAATTATATAACACAGTAAAGGCTAATGTAAAAAATACAATTTTCTTCTATTTGTCACAGATATTTGTGTATATATAATGCATGGCTCCTATCTAAAGCAAATAATGTTTTTAAGCTTTTAGATTTGAAGAGACACATTGTTTAAAAAAATATTAAAAGCAAACAAATACTTAAAAAATATACTACAAGTACATAGAAAACAGATGAACTAAGTCATTGGTTAAGCCTTACTGATAATTGCAGTCTAAGAGCAGAAGTTACTATAACATTTGCTTGTCTTGAAGCTTAATATTTTTTCATCTAAAGAACTATTCAAATCATGTATCTTTAGACATGCTCAGGAACTTCAAATGGAGAAAATTCAGCTAGAACTAGAGAACCAAAGAATGGAAGAGACATTACGAGAATTCCAATCCATACAGAACAAGGGAAAGGAAGAAATCAAGTGAGTGACAGCTTCAGAGAATTTAGAATAAGCATAATATTCCCTAATATTATTCTGATTTAAATGTTCTATTAATTTAACCTAATTACATAAAAGTGTTTTTGTATGACTTTTGTTATTTTAGTAAAAACATTTGGTGGACTGATGACTCTTACTGTTACTGAGGAATAAGGAATATTGAATTCCCTTTTGTTTTCTGTATCTCTTACATGAAGCACACTACTTTTTACATTTACCAGGGTTTCTGCTTCTTCTAATTTACTAGCTTTTTTTCTTTTCATAGTTCCCTACTATATGAAGGTCCCCAGCGACTTGTGGCATGGAATGTGTAGGAAATCAATGAAAACTTGATTCTATGCTATGAAATAATTGCAATCAAGACACCAGAATTTCAAGTTGATGTTTAGGGTGTTGCTGTGTAGTGTAATTTTTCAGGGAGCAAGTGTGTCCTTAAACTACATCAGAAATATTTAAGATATTTTTAGACAACAATAGATGATAATTTTTTGATAAAATCTCCTTAATATTATGCTTATAAATTGTCCTATGCTAATTTAATTTTAATATTAGAACACTGACAAATAAATCTGATGCATCAAGAGGAACTGATAGTTATGAGATAAAAAAGCAGTCCATTTTCTTGCACTATTTAATGATTAAAATTCTTTTTCCTGTAAATGATTCATCTTTGTACCAGTCTTTGTGGGAATAAGTGTGTGTATAAATTGTTTAATCTATAAGTTATGGAACATAATTCACATCATAATATTTTGGTCAGTGCTCAAGCCTCATGGATACATACCAAATTATACCATTTTTTTTTTCATTTTTTTGTGGTGTGGCTTAATTTTTCAGTACCTTGTGATTATAAATACCACCATGGACCTGTGCATTTGAGCATGTATTTTGCTTTTATACCATATCATCTTTGGACAAATTCCTCTCTATGTCATTTTAAGTTCAGAAGCATGCTTATTTTATATTGTTCTTAGAATGGGTAAATTGCCTTATAAATGGGCTTTAGACATTTACAATCTTCTAGAAAGCCATAGACTATACATTTTTATGTAATTAATTTTTTTAAATACCACCATTATCCTCATATATTAAATTTAGCTCTGTTTGATCTTCAAAGTGGTAATCATGCAATTTCAGTGAAGTACTTCATTAATAATTGATACATTTTCCAATCTATTTATTATAGTTTCAGTTACATTCATTTTTATCATTCAATTCTTTAAGAAATTTACATGGCATCTATACAAATTTCTCTTAATAAGTAGAACATTGGTTTCATCAAGGCTTTTCAAATGTTTATCATGAAGAGACTAGGTGTGTCTTGCTGTTTTAATATTAATGACCAGTAGTCATTGCTTTCCCCTTCACTGATGTTTTCCTTTTACTTTGCTTTTTTCTTTTGATGTAAGTATATGTATGTATGAGTAGATTCATATTTGTGTGTGTATATGAATGTGCATATGTGTTTGTGTTCAAATGTAGAAGTCAAAGGACAACCCTGGTGTCAGTTTTCAAGTGGGGATCACTTGTTCCTTTTGAGACATATACTTGGAACACACCAAGCCTCCAGAGAGCCCCCAGAGATCCACCTGTGTCCACCTCCCTACTCTTCGGACTACAGATGTATACAATCATGCCTGACTTTTTTTTATTTTTAATTCTGTGCATTAAACTCAAGTCCTCATGTTTGTAAATCAACATCCCCACTAACCAGACTACCTTACCAGTTCTAATTTTGCATTTTTAATGAATTATAATTTTCATTTGAAAAAAAATCAGAATTCCTGGAAGCGAGTTTTCTTTATCTGTGGAGCCTTTATTAGATGTCTTTTAGAACATTCTCCAACTTGAATGAGATTTAAGAGAGGTAGTATTTTCTCCTAAGGTTTCACAGATAGTATCACCAAAAAAAATGAAGACTTGCTACTCATTGACCAGAAAAAGGGAGGCCCATGATTCTAGTTTGTGGTTTATTATTTATTATTAGTGTGACATTGGGCAAATTTTCTTATGTAACATGATTTTTTTAGTTTTGTACCCTTAAAATGTTTATTTTGTGGGGCTCAATGAACCCCACTTTGAAAACTGTGAAATTAAAACTACCTTCTTTGTTCTGTGCTATTTCCGATGTGGGAGCTCATTTGAAATCTTTAGAACTCCATCACCTGGCCGACCTGCAGTATATTAGGTGGTATTGATTTGTTCTCTTTTTCCCTTTTAATTTGTGAATACCTAATTTAAAAATTTATGACTATCTGCAAAATCTTCTATAAATTGGTAAAATTCAGTCACTGTAAATGCCAAACAATTATGTTATTCCTCTGTGTTTGAACATTTCACTTTTGGTCATCTTTACACAAAAGTCACAAATATGGAGAAATCATATTTAAACTGATATACTGGTGATAAACTAGGGCATTGTTGACATATTAGTCACAGTTTGTACTGGTTTGTCATACTGACATCCAAATTTTCGTTTCCTGAAAACAGGAAATGTATTTGTTTTCATTAAAAGGAGGAATGTTTTCAGTAATTACATTTTGTTTTATGTCTATTGAAGGTCAGGTGGATATCACTGGAAATCTGGAAGTGTGGGCAAATTTGGCAACAAGTCACATATAAAGTCACAAAGTAAAGGGAATGCTACTAAGGTAAGAAAGAAGTCATTTTCTGAACAAGAAGACATGCATTATGTTTTTAGGCTTTGCATTCTCTCTCATAATCAAGGATCCATTATTCTTGCTTTAGAAACTTTACTTTGGGTTCACCTAAAATGTTACTATGTGGTTTCAATTACTCAGATATACTTTGGTTTTCATTCAGAATATTTTATTTAAATAAAGTATTTCAGAAGGTTTTTATTTTGTTGTTCGTTGTTTTTGTTGTTTGTTTTTTGTTGTTTTGAAACAGGGTTTCTCTCTGTAGCTTTTGGAGCATGTCTTGGAACTTGCTTTGTAGATCAGGCTGGCCTTGAATTCACAGAGATCCATCTGCTTATGCCTCTGGGGTGCTGGGATTAAAGTGGTGCATCACCACTGCCAGGCCATAAAGTTCTTAAAAATTACTTTCAGGGTAAAATTTTGCATTTTGTCTTCCTCCAAATACCAAACACAATGTCTTCATTCATTTGAAGTTTAAAGGATATAAAATACAATGAGCTAGTCCTCTGTGGTAAACTTTGATACTGTATGATAGAACAGATCAGTCTTTATTTCATATTATTCCTTATTTCCTTAATAGTATTGTATTCTTCTTGAATAATAATTGCTCATACACTCTTAGTATCATGGATAAAGATGTTCAAGAGAAAAATCTGCATTGCAATTCCCAAGCTACAGATTTACTGTGTACTGTAAAATGTAACATTGCATCATGTTTTTGATCGCAAGCAGGTAGGTATTTTTATATAAGGAAAGCTTTTAATCTGGATATCTTTAGTATAACATTTGTGACTTAGTGAATTTTAACTTGCACAGCATTTTATTTTTATATACCTATCATTAAACTTTCATTGGGTCACTTGGCACCAACAAATATCTTATTCAGCACTTTTGGCTTCAGAAAAAGCATTTCATTCTACACTGCCATCCCCTTTGTGAGTCAGGGTTCTTTCATTCTGAGGTTAAAATTTTATAAGCCATTTTTAAGTAGTTATTATCTTTTCACAGTGCTGTCCCATGATGCAATTCAGATGTTACCGTAAATGAGTTAAATATTTTGGCAATGAACAGTCGTGGAAGCTCACTTTTGTAATCTCAGGCCCCAAGAAGTTGAAGCAGGGAGATTGCTATGAGTTTTAGGCCAGCCTGAATAATGGTGTGAAACACCGAATCAAAAAGAAAAGAACACAACAAAACAAAAAATGCTGGTTGTGATCATCAAATTTGTGATCATGAACTTGCATGCAATGGCGTTTGTAAAGTGCTGTCTTGAACTTTTAGTGATTTACTCCAAGTTTTTCAAGGAAATTCTAGTCTAATTTAGACAAAACATGAAATATTTTTGGTAAAAGTCAATCTAAACTATTAACAATAAACATTTTGTATATGAATAATGTGTACTTGAGAAATGACAGCTTACTTAATGAGTTTTTATAAGGAAGTATTTGAAGAATAAATCAAAATCCTTGCTTTCACAAATATCAAGATTTTAAAAGAGGATAGATTTGGGAAATATGGAAGGCATCTACCATATGAGAGACTAGGACAGAGATAGAGGCTTCTCAATCTAGTCTTAGGTGTTCTGATGCATTTCACTTGTGTAGTCTTCTCTTTCCTTACAAGCCTTGTCCAGTGGGATTGCAAAGGTTAGAACAATGATTTATGTTGTTTTTCTTTTTCAATTGACCATTTGCGTGTTACTAATAGACAATAAAGCAAGTAGGGTGGCTATTTGACTATGAAATACAGCACAAATGAATAGACATTGCACATGGATTTGCTATGTATATATTTAACATTTACTTATGCGCATACCAATTTATAGCACAAACATTATAATATTAATGTTGAAAATTAAAGGATAGATAAACAAAAATACAAATAAGTGATCCTTTTCTACTTCCCAGTTACTTTGTGAGATATTTACTTCTGCTTTCTGCTCTGAAGATCTGTAGGCACAGATGCATAAGAGGTTGTAGGGGTATAGCAACAGGAGAAGACTATCAAAACACCACAGAAGTCATATGGAAGAAGTCTGAATTAAAATGGTAGCAGGAGAAATGTAAAGAAAAATATTGCACTAAAAGAAAAAAAGAAAGAGGAAAGAAAGGAAGTCAAATGCACAATAGATAGTACAGGCTTTCTTTATAGCAAAAGAGAGATTGAAGGGAGAAGGAAGAAAATTCTATCGTGTAAGTTTAGGATTTTTGTTTGAATTTTTGTGTGATAGGTAAAACTAAGTAAAGGTATCCTTAAGAATCTACATGAACAGGAGAGATGTGAAAACTAAAACAGTAGGAAAGCCTGTGTGTGGTGTTTGGTAGCTCTCAAAATTTAACATTTACCCAGTATATTTAATTACAGCCAAGAGCTTATCTTAGTTGGCTTTTTATCTCATCAAGCACTTACATTTCTCCCAAGAGTCAGTTTCTAATTGTAGTTTCACAGATGAAGTAATTTCACATCAGGGAAGTAAACTGATTTGCTCAATGTCAAGCACGAGGACCACAATTCTGCATGCAGGCTGTTGACCTTGTTTTAAAGTAATCTTCTAGTTTTCCAGTGAAGGGAGCCTGAAAATAAAAGAAGGGAAGGTGTGGCACCAAAGATTTAGGATTTCTTAGAAGATTAAATGGGAAGAAAGCCTTTTCAGAACACACAGAAATGCCATTCAATGTATTGTACCATAAAGACATCAAACTCAATTTAGAGCAGTGATTTGCAATGTGGCAATTTTGTTTCCCTAGAGACCTTTTGCAATATCTGAAGATTTTTGCACTTGTTACTGTCAATAGAAGTTTCCGGTTTGGCTTTTTTTTTTGTGGTGATTTATAATGTGTCAGGACCAAGGTTGATGCTGAACTTGCTACAGTGCACTGTAGAGCCTCTCAGTGTTAGTTGGGCTGAGGCTGAGGAACTCTGTATTGGCCTTATAAATTAAAAATTTTCACTTTTATTATTTAGCTATCTCTGCAGTCTCAGGAAAGTCAACCACTTTGAACCTCTGATATACATTCATAAGACATTTATAACTTTTAGAGTTCTAAGCAGCGTAAGAAATGTTATATAATCCCAGCTTGAATTGTTATGTCTATATACAGAAAATAAGAATATTCAAAGGCTGGAGTTTAATTACTGAGCTACCATTAGATAATTGCAAAAGTATATTTCAAGGATTTAAACATGAAAGAATGGGATACAATGAACACAAATTACTGTAGTGAACACAAGAGCAAGAACCCATAAAGGTTCAATGGGGTCAAAGAAGAGTTAATTAGTTTGGGGTTTGGTGGACTCAAGTCAGCCACTTATAAGGCTGAGGAATGGGAATGCAAGTAGGGGAGAAATTGAAGAAGCAAATGACAGTGCCAGTGGTTGGGGCTGTGGACTCAGAATGTGGTTCATTAAAAAAACCTTCACGGGGGAAGGGAGCACGCATTTCCTCTGGCAAGCAACACACACACACACACACACACACACACACACACACACACACACACACACACACTTGCACACGCACACGCACGCGCGCGCGCACACACACACACGTATAAATAAATGCAAATACTAGAGATGGAGATTGGATTTGACAGAGGATACAGTATACTATTGCAGAAAACTGTAATGAGACATCAACATTTTCATGTTGAATGTGATGGCCCCTGCTCAGGTGAAAAAACAGGAAACAGTACTACCATGGATTCTTGAGAGTGGAGGTTTGGAGTAGCAGCTGTGGGAATCAGGACTAGGGTTCAGCAGTAAATGACTGAACTTACTCCTAAGAAATCCTAAGTAACCACAGGGATTACTCAGCAAGGTTTTGCAGGAAAACCCATAGCATTATTTCATCACAATAGTAGGTAGAATGGGAGAGCTGAAAGTAGAAATAATAGTGATCACATTTATCACTAAGAACCTCTGAAAGGTGTGAGGTGTGGCCATTTAGAATGATGTCTAGCTGCAAGGTTTGGTCACAATGCTGGGGAAGTTTCAGGCATTTAGATGTTCACAGCTGTCAGAGTGCTGGAGGATCTTCAGTGCCGGATGTCAGATACATGGGCACTGAAGTATTTAGAGTTACTGACCTGAAATGGGATGAAGAGAAGTATGGAGTAGATTCTGATGTTTAGGTGAAAGAGGAACCTGAACATAATAGACAATAAGTAGGCAGGGGAAATCTTAGTGGATGTGAATTTGCTGAGTGATGATGGTGGAGCCGCATCCTGGGTATAAGATGCAGATTTGCCCCCCTCTATGCCAGTGAGTAAGAGGGAAACAGCAACTGGTTGGTCTGGGAAAGTGACTCAGTTCAAAAGTGCTTAGTTAGCATGCAGGAAGCCCTGGATTTGATCTCAGCACCTTGTAAATGACACGATGGCTTCCATCACTTGGAGCAAGTGGATCAGGGATCAGAAGTTCAAGGTCATCTTTAGCTAAATAGTGAGCTGGAGATCAGAATGCCCCAAACAAAAGAAAAACAAAAGAGTAACAAACCCAAACCCTAAAAAGGGAGCTAGTTTCTGTAGATATTATTTTAGAGAAACTTTGATCCCCAAAGTGTGTTTCAGTTAATATGAACTTTGTAGTGACCACTTTTAGGATATATACAAAGTACCATTAGTTAAGTGATTATTTTTTTACACAGTGTTTTATGGGCCATAAAGTACCTAGGTGATACTGATAATAAGCAGAGATGGAATATTTCAGGAGGTGGAAATCTTTGAAAAAGTGCCCCTGGTGGAATTTTGGACACATGAAGGCACTGGTGGAAGGTTGAGGGTATTTTTTATGTCTGAGAGACTACCTACTGGCCATAGCTTGGTCCATACCAATTGCTCATACATCGCAGATGGCAGAGCCAATTAAACCGCCCTGGTATTGAGAAGCTCTTGTTCAATGCCTTCTGACACAGCAATAAGACAATGGCATTAGCAAGTGAAATTCTTGTTTCCAATACTCAGAATCATGGAAACATGAGTGTGTACATTTCTATTCATTGGCTAACCCTACTTTATCACCCAATCAGCTTTCAAACATAAAAATCAGATTTAATGACAAAATTAAATTAGACTGAAACTAGCAGCTTGTTCAAACATTTTTATGCAATTAAGATAACTTGATGTAAATATGTATACATTTATAGGACAGAAAAGTGTTACTCAGTAATAAAAATAAATTATGAATTTTCCTTAATAGCAACATTATTTTCCTGACATACCTACTCATACAGAGTTCATAGCCAGGCTGATCACATTGCAATTCAGAATTCAGTTGTGTCATTAAGATAATCATACTGGATAATTCAGGTATAAAAGGTGAGGTTTAATTATCTATAACTTGTGTAACACTGCCAACTTAAAAAATGAAAGTGTGAGTCATATAAAAGTTGATTATTTCGATTCTATTTTCTTTTCTGCTGTGTTTGGTACAGAAAACATCTGAACAGCTACTTCAAAGAATACAAACAATAAGTGCATCTTTGAAGCAAAACCATAGAGAATAATTAGGCCTAAATATTCAAAGATGTCTGCAGTTGGTACAGCTATAGATATAGAGACAGCCATTGTTCTCATATCTTCATGTACAAATTGGGCAATTGAGCATGCAAATTGCAAATTGAAAGCTGGGCATGAATTGACAGTGTCTATGTAAATGCACATCATCCTCTGGGCTTATTTTGTACTTTAAATTGTGGTTTTAATAAGACCTAGGCGAATGTGTTCAGTTGGCAGGTCTCTTTTGCTGCCTACAATGTTAAGATCCAAAGGTTTCAAGGGAGTGTTTATATTGAAAAGCTCAGTGTTGGCTCTTGCATTTTCAAGTATGTTTTATCAGTCACATAGCAAAGTCGGGGATCATAAATAACACATGGGATGGGTAAGACCACAATGCTGAAATGTGGTCCTCTAAATTGTACAAATAAGACAATGTCATTGGCTTCTATGGTTATGTGAACAGAGTGGTACAGTCAAAATTCAGTGTTGATTTAGTTTGTGCAAATACCAGACAATGTTTTTCAGAAAGAGGAAGAGATTTCTATATCTGCACAGTATTTGAATGCTAGTGTTTGTTTAAAGTCAATTAATGCTCACATATAGCCATTGTTGTTATGTTCAAGTTACATACTTACATGAAAATGGGCTTCTGAAATTTTGTGTAATAAGAAAAATATTCCTGGTATGTTGTGTAAAGTGTGGTTTACAAACTGGGCATGGTAGCTCATTCTTTGAATGTCAGCATTTAGAAGAAGTACCAGGAGGATCACGAGTTAGAGAGAACAAAACACAACAAAAAATGACTTATATATACAATATTTGTTAATTTTTCTCTTTAATGAAATTCAAAGTTTACATATGCATTTAACTATTTTTTAGTTTTATATTATTCTCAAGTAATACATTTTATGCAAAATGTACCCAAATGGTGCAGCTATCTAATATTTTGTTTATAATTACACTTTCTTTGGATAAGAGAAATAATGTTTATTTTGTTAATGCAGCTCCCTGCTGGAAATGTGAAATTAAAGTTACTAAAGGAACAGATTGAAGGTAAGCAGCGTATTATATCCTAAAGATAAGTCTCTCAATATATCACATATATTCAGACAGGGTCTCTGCATATTTTAGGTATGAATTTCAGTATTATGTAGTGATGTATGTTCAGGTCAAGGGGATCTAAGCAAAGCAGATAGAAGCAGGCACATGTTGCCCATATTCATGGCAGCTTGCAGCAGTTGCTACCTTTTCTACAATGAACTGACAGATGAGACTTACCCACATCCAATCATTATGCAGCTAATGCTTCAGTGCTGTGCAAGCGTTTGGAAATGCTTGTAGTTACATTATATTTTTAACCAAGAAAGCATACACTGTACTTAAAATTGATTATCCTGATTTATTTTTCTTCTAGCACCAGCAAAACAACTCGTTAATTACAAAATGGCTCATTCTTTTGGAAATGAAAAACCCAAGGTTAAAAAGAAAGTTTGTGGACAGTGTGAGAACAAAGCTGCTCTCCTTGTAAGTATGCAAACAGAATAGACTGATCAGGGCCCCTTGGACATACCTCTCCCCCTGAATACACTTCTACAGCCCTATTATAGCAGGCTTTTTCTTTTGGGCCACCAACCAGGAGACTTAATATTAGTTATGAATGCTAGGCCTTAGCTTATGCTCCTTTCCTGCTTGCTCTTGTAACTTAACCTGTTATCTTTGTTTTGCCCTGGGCTTTTTATCTTTCTTTCCTGCTGTATGTCTTTCACTGCTTCTCCTGTGTGGCTCCCTGACTGCTCCTGCCTGACTTCTGGCCTGGGCATATCCCTATCTTTCTTCCTTGTGTTGTCTCCTTCTTCTCAAGCCTCAGATTTCTCCTTCTACTTACTCTCTGCCCAACAGCCCCATCTGTGTAGCTATTGACTACTCAGCTTTTTCTTTGAAAACCAAGCAGGGGCCTTAGGCAGGCAAGGTGAAAAAAAAAATGGAGCTCATTATAATTAAACAAAGGCAGTATAACCAAATGTAACAACACATCCTTAAATTAGTAAACAGAGGCAGCATAAACAATGGTAACACATCTTAGCACAGTTAGCTATGCCACAACACACAGTAGTCCCTTTTGCTACTGTTACTCTGTGTGCTGGAAGATAAGTTTAACATCTCTGCATATGCACTGAGCATCAGCCCCTCATTCTTGCATAATAGCATCATTTACAATTACATCCTCTCTGTTTTCCATCATGCCTAGCATCACCCACATATGCAACAGTATCTCTGTGTAAATACAATGTCCTCTAATGAGTTTGAAAAGATGGACACCTGATACCGTTCCCTGTATATTTCTTTTTAGTAGTTTCATATCCTGCATGTTGTACCAAGACAGGAGGAAGTGGTTTCCAATTTGGACTTTGGCATGTCAGCTTTCCCTATGAAGTACATGACTTTTAGTAAATCACTGAGTTCTATAAATGATTTCCCACCTGTGGCCTATGCTACAAAGCTACGGATGGTTATAATTTGATGCAGCACTCGCCATTGCATCTAACACATACAAAGGAGACAATATATAAAATGGTTTTGTCATTAACTTGTCTCCTTATGATTTTATGCATTTAAAAATATTGATAAAACCCAGTATTTCCAAAATCTCAAATGACATTTCAGTGGCTTTAGGCTATTTCTCTATGCTACAAGTAGAGAGGAAAGTTACATATTAATTTGGAATATGTGGTTGATTTAATTAATTGAAAGGAGTTCTGAAAACTAATACAGCTGATCTGGAATTTGCCAAATCAACCAGATAGTTTTAAAATTGCACTCTGGTGTTTTCTTATCGAGGAAACTATGCAGCAAAATGAAATCCTTATCTGTGGTTTAGTATGTTGCTGCCAGTTGCACAAACTGCCTAAAAAGATTTTCCAGTTGGCAGTCATTTTAACCCAATTTAAATCCAAATATGCTTGTATAACAAAATATGTGAGCTTACTTGGCAAATGTAGCTTTGATCTTCTAGTCTACAAATATCTGTTGGGCTGCTTTCATTAAACATCTGTTAATAAATACTTGGCTTAGAATTATATGCTGAACCTGATTTTCAGTTCCCTGATTCATATTATGTGGTAGAAACTGCCAATGATTTGTGAAAACTTTAGAGAAATATTAGCAGGTATGTTCAAGAAAATTGGGCAGAATACATTTTGAAATAGTCATTAGTATAATAATACTATCATATAAATTTGTGAAACTGTATTTATTTTGTACTTAAAATTGTAAGGAATTCTTTTTGCTATGACTTCTTAGAAAGAATTTACAGAGGTGTTCCTTTTTTCTGCTTAAATGAAAATCCCAGATTTATGTTTTTAAATCACCTTTTAAGAGGTGTTGAATTAATAGCAGGTAACGCAATCATCTGAAATATCTGAATTGTTGAAGATTTTATTAATTTTTAAGAAAGTATTCCAGAGACTCAAGTTCTGCCACTGTAGCATCCACATTGTATGACACAAAGCTCAAGACTCCAACCATGGTAAACACTGACGTTCACTCAGTCACCATTGACCATTGAAAGCAATATTAATTATTTCTTGACATAGATCTCTGATATGCCTTCTGTTCTTCCATATACTTTCTTCTTCATGTTTCCAGTCATTGTTCTCATCCTGAGTCAAAGTGAAGCTCTTAGTTATTTACACTACAGCACACTGCACTGTGACGGTGTTCAAAGTTACGGCTGCATAAAAGCATCTTCAATCGTAGTATAATTTTCTTTCTTCTCTTTAGATGCAGTAGTTCCTAATACCATCATGGGTACAAGTACATTACATATCCTAACTTTACACAGTTCAATTCTGTACTATCGGGAAGCTGAAAGATAAACTTGCCTGTGACCATCTTAGTAGCCAGAAACATCACTATTGTTCTTTTTTTTTGTTTCCTTTGCACACATTTCTGACACCATTATCTAATCCATATTTTAAGAATCACGAGAAAAGAATACATTCATGGAAGTACGTGGAATGTTTTTGAAAGGGGTATTATATATTGTTCTCAATTAGTGCTAATGGGCATAAAGATAAAACATGTTATAAAAATGTGAGTTTAATTTATTTACACCAGGTCAAGGAGTTTGAGCAGATGCCATTACCTGTTTTATGGTTATTAAGAAATGAAGCATGTATACATGCATATAATATGAATATCCAACACTATCACTGCTATTAATTACACTTATTTGTTCTGAGAGTAAATAGTTCTTCAGTGTTAAACTTTAGCATTTCAGCACCTTTTCATTTCAATGACATTTGGAGGAATAAATACAAGGATGTCAGCATCTTTGTACAATTGTTTTTTTCTGGAAATTGAGCTGTCTTTGTGTCCTTTTCATATATATGTATGTGTATCTTTAAAGGTATGCCTGGAATGTGGTGAAGATTATTGCTCAGGATGCTTTGCTAAAATGCACCAGAAGGGGGCACTAAAGTTCCATAGAACAACTCTTTTACAGGTAGGACTCTTGAAAGAGTATATTCCTAAAATGTTACAGCATAAATGCCTTTAAACATATCGTATTATCTGAGTTTCAGGAAAAATCTCATTAATTTCTAAAATCCTGCTATATGCAGTCAGCTTTGACACGTGTCTTAAAATCATTTCACGGAACTTTAATCCAGACTATTTTGCAATTTAAACTTTTTAAATATAGTCTCTCAAACACTTAGCTTGATTATAATCTTCAAATTATGCAGCTCTCTGTGACCTTACAATATTAAGAATAAACATATTTTCACCTGTCAAAAATTTAAATTAACAGTTGGTTTCCTAAGTATCATTTCTAGCTAGTTTGTGAATAGAAATTTGTTTTCTTGCATGTTATGTAATCATTTATTTATCTTCACACATTATCACTTAGATAAGCTCATCTCATGGGGCATCCTTTTCTTTCCATATGGCTAGGACCTTTTATTCTGTTAAATCTGTTAATTGGTTTGTAAAAATACCTCAGATTTAGCCCTGATAAACTCCTTTAAACTTTCATACTTAGAAAAAAAAAATAAATGTTTGGATATAGAGTTGGCATTACACTAGTTATACTTAATGTTAGTTCATATGTCATAAATTTAAATCCTTTTATAGCTATTTATTCAAGAATAATTTCTGGAGTACATTCTAGGAAGCTAGGTCTATGCTAGGCAGTGACATTATACAGATTAATGCTGCTAAAATCTTGCTGGTAAGAATGCAGAAACAATTAGAATCAAAGGCTCAATGTAATAAAGATTTCAAAAGCTATAGAGAATGTAAAAGACATAATTAAAATTGTATTTGAAGACATTTGTTTGTGAGATTTTACATGTCCTCTCAATATAAATAGATGTAACTCCTAAAGATGCTGATCCCATAATGATGAGGAACACAAAACATCTAATAGACCTGCCTCATATCTTCAACATTATTTCTGTGTCTTTGTTTCTCCCTTGGACCCAAGTGTACTGCTTAGGCTATACTGTCTGGCCTAAGGAGTCCTAGCAATCTTTTTTTTCTTCACTGCTCCAGTACCCAATTTACAAATGTATTCCATCATGCCTGGCTTTTTATGTGCATGCTGAAGATTGAACTCAGGTCTAAGGCTTCCAAGGCAAGCACACTAATCAATGAGCTACCTCCACTATAAATAAACCTTTACAAAAGGGAGTCTAATTGTTAAGATGTAACTAGTAGGGAAGGTAAATATTCAGTGACCTCACTGTAAGTTCTTCCTACATGGTTTGTTCATTCATTTCATGTTTTTAATCACCACTCAGTGAGTTACAACATTATATTGCTTTAGAATGGAGGAAAAAGGGAGAGTGAACCTCAGCTTCAGTCTTTAACCTTAGGGTCTAAGCTTCATGATGTATCCAAACTGACTTTTCTTTACCTTTGTCTTCTCTTCCCACTTCCCCTCTGTTCCCCCCCCCCATCACATTCTCCATAGGACTTTGATGTGAAATGACTTTCTGTAGATTTGTAGATATAATGGAGGTCAGATCATACTTACCAAACCCAATTCAAACTGCAGAGTAATTTCTGAACATTGACCCTTTTTCTATTTCATATTTTCCTATCAAAATAATTGAAATGGATTCCATAACTTGACATAGATAAATCTGATCTTTCTAGATTAGAATCCTATGAAATTCTAAATGTAGAATTGATCAAGAAAGCAAGAAAGCATTTACTATGTATATGTTAGGTATTATATATTTTAGTTACAATATACTTATTTTGAAATGCAAATTTACTGTGATCTCCATAGTGCTTTTGCAGATAGTATTTACAAAAATATGTAGGCTATTTTTCTCATTTTTTAAAATACATGATTTATAGACATCAGTAGCATAAGTTCAAGTTCATTTGCTGTTTCCATGTACTTGAGAAATACTGCCCAAATCAAGCCAATAAACATCAATTACTTCATTCATCATGTTCTCTTTCTTTCTTTCTTTCTTTCTTTCTTTCTTTCTTCTTCCTTTTCTCTTCTTTTCTTTCTTTCTTTCTTTTTTTTTTTTTTTTTTTTTTTGTGTGTGTGTGTGTGTGTGTGTGTGTGTGTGTGAAATACTGCTGCCATTGCACTCCTTAGTTTTGATTGTAGAGAAGGAAGGATGTCAAACCACAAGTAGTAAAATGATATTTAAGCTCCTTGGGAATTTGAAATTTTAAGGAGACACATGTGTCTCTAAAAGTTAGCATGGATGAATTTCATGTCGTATACTGATCAAAGAGTATGAGATTCAACCCCAACTGCTTGGAGGTTTTTGATGTATATAAAATTGATGACAAATTACTACTGAGAACACATCCTCTTCTGAGTTTATGGCTTATCATACCTATTGTCCTTTAGACTGTTGATACTGAAGCTGACATGGGACCAGTCTTGAAAATCCTGCCTGCTGGCTTACCTTCTGCCCACCTGTCATTCTCTCTCCTTTTCTCTCTCTCCCTCCCTCCCTCCACTCCTTCCTTCCTTCTCTCTCTCCTTCTCTACTCCCCTGTTGTTTCCTCTGCATACCCCCTCTTTTTTTTTTCTTTTCTGGTCCTTGTCTACCAATTGGTATATAATTTGAATATCTTTTCCTTTGTAGACCTTATTCATTAGAAATACGATTTTGTGTTTGATATTCATCTTCTTTGGGTAATGACTACATTCATGAGATTTCATTGACCACTAAATTTATATCTAACCTGAGAAGTGGAGTAGATAGGTGATGGGAAAGTAGCATTATAGAAATAACAATGCTATCTAAGGAGAACATATTCTAGGTTAATGACTAATTAACTTATTTGTTATATTCTTTAGTATGTAACACTTTTTGTAGTTTTTATAGTATGTAGCTAAATTTGATACCATTAAGCCACATAAATCTTTGGTCTGTAGAATAATAAGCCTTACAATTCAGTCATTACATACATTTTAAAGACATTATCTGGTTTTACTTAAGAAAATCCCTACAAAATGGAAATCAAGATGTTTATTACCATTTTCATGCTGACTAATATAATTTTTAAAGGTAGTCTATTTGATTTATGATTGATTTATACTTGGAAATGGTTGAAACATTTCAGGATTCTCAAGCCCCGTATGTCATGTGCAGAATAAAGTCTAAAGGCACAGGAGCAATTGCAAACCATAAAAGTTCTATTTCTTTAATTAGAAAAATTGTCAATAATATAAGGTCTTAATATATCAAGCATTCATATTTCTTCTTAACAAACACAGGAGAACACTAATCAGGGAGAATAGAAGCCTGCAGAAAACACACAGAGGCATTCTACTGTGAAGTAAGACATACACAGGGGAGGGTGGATTAAGTAAATCATTAATACATAGATTATAGTAAGTATCTTTTCTTAATTGGAATGGAGCAAAGCTGAAACCTCAGAAGCTGGGAGGTTACGAATGAAAGAAGACCCTATCCAGACAGAATTTCAAATAGTCTTTTATGAGGCCTACTCTCTCCAAGGGAAGGTGTGTTCCATAAACGTGGGTGTAATTAGGAATATATGTTTGTGTGAATACACTTACAGGGAAATAATTGCTGAGTAAATTAATCTCAGTACTAGAATAACACTTATATTTATTAACTTCATTATATTTCTAATTATATATTTAAACTGACAATGTCCATTACCAAATTTTAGGCTCAATTATTACTGTCTCATTAATGTTTAAATGATATATTTTGATAACATGATTAAACATTTTGGAGAATATCATAATTACTTGAATGGTCCTACAAGGGCCATTTGCTATCCACATGCATATTATGGGTGTGTTGTGTGTATGTCCCCCAGATTTTCTTATTTACAGCATAGGTGGTCTGTTTGCTGACTGCTGGTGTACAACCCTCAGAATGAGGAGTCTTCTAGGTTCGTTCCATACCCCAAGAACTCAATGTCCTGTCCAGTTGCTGCAAAACGCAAGAGGCTTTAATGAACAGGAAATGTTTGCACAAAAGGCTCCTCCAGCATGCAGGCTAGAGAGAAGCCCCCTCCCCTGGGCCCAGGTGTTTTTAAAGGCAAATCCACAAGCTTAGGGAGGGTGTGGGACCCTCTGTCCATTGAGTACATGACCCATGAAGGCCGGATGATCTGCTATTAGGGTCAACAGACCTTAGGGCCTCAGGGTGTGCTAATTAATTTTGTCTGGGCAAACCAGAGTTACAGCTATCTCTTTGTTTCCTAAGGACCCTATTTACCACCTGCTGACTCAAAGGAAAGGAGGGGCAGTGTGAATTCTTGTCATCTCAGGGCCTTGTGAGAGGAAGTTAGCAAATTCCAAGGAACAGATATTGGTTTCCTGGTTAGTCCATCATTAACATTACTTTTTTGGTCTTTTACTGGAACCCTTCTGCTGATGGGGCATTATTGAAACCCTCTCCAGAAATTTTTCTTTCCCACATTGTCTACCACTTCTGTTATTTATAAGAGGTATCCTGGTTTATTTGCATTCTGTTGATATCACAAGACACCACAAACTGGATAATTTATAGGGAATAAATATTAATTCAGATCACAGTTTTGGAGGCTGGAATGCCTACACTTGAGGGCCTGCATTTGGAAAAGGGGCCTTGTGGTAGGTGAGGTACTGAAGATATTTGAGGTCGTACAGACCTTCACATGGTTACAGGGACAGAACAAACTTCCAACATAAACCATTGATGCATCAGTTGGTTAACCATAATCATCATGTAAATATCTCAGTTGGTGCTACAATCTCAACATCTCACAAATGGGATTTGCATTTCAATGGATTCTGAAAGGAGACCTGAAGATCTTAGCCTAACATCCCCAACTCCCAAAAGTTTAAAAAGCCTCTTTGTTTCAATTTGGTCTGATTCTAGTGGCCATTACAAATCCCACTTCCTTTTTCTTGTCCCAAATGCTCTTCTTCAAAAGAAAGTAGGAGGAAAAGCACAGAGGCCTGCAGCGATGAGAGATTGCATCATTCTTTATCAGTTTCCCAGT